GGCCTGGGCCCCGTGGAGTGAGATGGCGGGCGCTACCCACAACACCGCCCGGCTCACCAGCCCCACACTGGAGCAAGGGTGCTGAGCGTAGGGCCAACCGGGTCGTGCCAGCCCTCTTTGAGGCCTGTTTCTTCGTGGGTAGCAGCGAGAAGGGAGTGGCGGGAGCACAACCCCAAGCCCTTTCTATAGAAGGCTCAGTGTGAGCTCTATAGTCAGGACCAGAGGAGGGGACACCCCCAGAGCAAGGCAGGTAAAAACCTATAGGGGGCCTAGCAATAAGACAGGCTGAACAACCCCTTTGACGCAGGTGGATCGGCTGATCATCTGCGTATTCCTTGAGAAGGACGAGAACATCTACCGGCAGCTGCTGCCCCACTACTTCCCCGTGGGTACGTGCCCCGCGCTGCCCCAAACCAAAGGCGCCCACCCCACTGCCAGCCCTGCCCCTCCCCTCTCGGCTCTGGGCTGGGCTCTCACTGTCCTCTGCCTTCCAGCCTGAGGCTCCCCGCAGCCCAGCCTGAGCAGGACTGGTAAGCAGGGCCTGGGCCCTTAAGGCTGCCCTACACACTAACCTATCACTAACACCTGCTCAGCCTCTACTGGGCTCACCCCCAGGTAGGGAGGAGGGGAAACCAGGGCGATTGAAGGCCTCAGCTTCTTGACCTCTCTCCTCTGCCTTTAGACCTGTCCAGGCCTGCAGGACCTCGCTCCCAGCTCTGAGAGGTAGCTGAAGCCTGCGGTCTGGGCCTGGGCAAGGCCAAGCTGTTCTTTCCTTCAGCTCCACACCCCACCTCGCTCCCCCCTCCCTGCCCCTAAGGAGCCTCTTAATAAAATGACTATTTCAGCTCCCAATGTCTGAGCTCTGACTGTTCTGGGGCTGGAGCATGGGAAGCCAACCCAAAATGGAGCCCCAGTCAGGCGCTTTGGCTTATAGGGACTGGCAAGAGCTCTTGGTGAGCCAGGCGGGTGGTGGAGGCACGGGCTGGACAGCGAAGGCGGCAGCAGCACTTCACATTTATTGAGGGCCTGCCCCCAAGGAGCTCACAGCCTGGGGCTGAGACCCCACATGTGCTGGGGTGGGTGAAGAAGAGAAGCAAAGGCAAAAGGCAGGCAATGCAGACGCTGGCCCAAGCAAAGAGGGTGCAAAGCAGGCGCAGGCAGGGGGCCTAGAGGCGGGGAAGAGTGGGGAACTGGCAAGCCCTGCCTAGACCTGAGGACTGAAGGCCACTCCTCCCGCAGCAGGCTGGTGCCCCCTCCGCCACCTGGCCTAGGCCAGTCCCATCCTGTGAGCCCTCTCTGCCCAGGATTCTCTAGTCATGCAGATCCCTGGTGGAGGGCACAAGACTGGGGTCTGGGGCCCTGGCCAGGACAGCAAGGTGGAAGCCAGAGACCTAGGCAACTCCCAGAGAAACATCCACAACTGGAAGTGTGGAAGCGGAAGGGGGAAGGCGGAGGCCTTAGAGAGCACACAATTCCAAGCAACCAGGAGGGTCCCCCAGGAGGCCTAGCCCCCTCAAAACTGCTCCTGGTGAGAAAGCTTGGGGTTGGACACGTAGAAAACTGGGGGACCCACCTGAGGGAAGCGGGGCAGCCAGACACACAGCAGCCAGTGGGCAGGCAGCCAGCAGGGACACGCACACACGCAGCTTACCACCAGCATCCCCTTTAATAAAACGTGGAAGGTTGTGTGACAGGAAAAGGGAGGGAGTGAAATATGACCATTTACAACCACAAAAAAAACCTCTGTACATGTCTAGCGCCTGGCAGAGGGGGAGGCAGGCAGGGCAGCGGCAGGCCAGCCAGCCCTATTTGTAGAGGATATCGTAGTGTCCAGGCCGGTAGAGAAGGTAGACCTTGGGCTCAGAGCCCTCAGGGAAGACGTGCGGGTTGGTGGTGCCACCCTCACCACGGTCCATGTACTCCACCTGGATGGACACGCTAAGGGCCTGCGCCAGCGCGATGATGTGGATGTGGTCACTCTCCTTGCACATGGGCTCCACCTCCTGCAGCACAGGTACTGGTCAGGCCCTTCCCAGCACCCTTCCCCAGGACCCATGGGCCCTAGTGCACTCCCACCCCCTTGGCACCTGCCACCCTGGGGCAACAGACAAGGGATGGTCCCTAGTGGGAGGGGGCTTGGCACCTGCTGACAGAACTCCTTGACAGTCCGCCCACCCTCGATGAAGTGCTCAAAGAACTTGCTCTCCCGCTGCAGGTAGCCTGAGGTGAGCAGCCGTAAGTAGACCACAAGGTAGTCCGAGGTGCTCTGGTCGTTGAAGGAGGCCAGGAGGTCAGCTACTGAGGTCTGCTTCTCCACCTGCTCGATCAGGTCCATGAACTGCCCCCATGGAGGGAAAAAGGGCAAGGTGAGGGAGGAGGGGGTCAACCCCACCCAACCAGGCCAACCACCCTCCATCTTGGCTCAGCTTGAGACAGGTGCAGAGCTCACCGTATTGTGGAAATCCTCAATTGTGAACTCAGTGAAGCCCTGTGACACCAAGTCCTCTTTGCTCTTGGCAGACACAGCCTTGAACCTGTGGGTAGGAGCGGAAGAGCTCCTCAGCCAGCAAAACAGAGGCCCAGGCTGCACTGTCCAGGCTCAGACAGGCCACCCTCACCCCAGCTCAAAGGGAAGCCCCCAGCAGGAGTCCAGCCAACCACCCGGTATAAGGTGGAACCGTCCTCCTATCCCTCAGGAGGGAAGAAGGTGCCCACAAGCCTTGCCCTCTGGTGCCCATGCGCCACCCTCCTCACCGCTGCAATTCCTTGCTGTCATCCAGCAGTGCCTCCAAGTGGGAGAATCCAAAAGCTCGATAGAAGCAGTTGCCATCAGGCCTGGTCTTCCGGATATATGAGTACTTTTTGTGCAGGTCCTGCAGAGAGGCAGCCCCCCCCCACACCTGACCCCTCAACATTTGCCCAGACTAGGGCTAGCCCAAGAAATGGCCCCAACAAAGGTCACAACACAGCAGGTGGCAACTAAGTTCCAAGAAGCCACTCCAGGCTGCAGAATGGATGAAGGGAATCACTGCCCAGTGACTCAGGAAGCTGTGCTCTTATGTACAAACTAGCTGCCTGGGTGGCCAAAACTGCTGCCAGCCACTGGCCAGGCCACACAGCTGGGCTACAGCATTGTTTGTTTATAAAAATGCACAAGGTCAGTGCTTACCTAGCATTTGTGATACCCTGGGTTTGATCTCCAGCATCAGGAAAGGAAAAAAATAAAAAAAGGAGAGGGGCTATGTGTAGCTCAGAGGTAGAGCTCTTGCCTGGCAGATGCAAGGCCCTGGGTTCCATCCCCAGCAACATGCGGGCACACACAGATGATAAAATTAAAACATTAACATACAGGAGAGTGAATCTGTCTTTGATAATGCAACTTTTCCAGTCTTTCATCCAAGAGACCTTCAGGGTAAGCAGATCAGGGCAGGGGTGCAGTGGCAAGTACCACGCCCCAGCCAGGTGTCCAAGGCTCGCGGCACAGTCCAGCTCAGCCTAATTGAGAACAGTTTTCCCACCTAAGCCTTTCCACAGTCCTCTGGAGTTTAAACAACCTTCCTTGTCTATTTCTAGGTTCTACCTGCCTACTCACAGGTACCATCTCCAGTCAGCCTTTTTTTTGGCAACGGGAATTGAATCCAGGGGCACTCAACCACTGAGCCACATCCCCAGCCCTTTTTTGAATTTTATTTAGAGACAGGGTCTTGCTGAGTTGCTTAGGGCCTCACTAAATTGCTGAGGCTGGCTTTGAACTCTCGATTCTCCCGTCTCAGCCTCCCAAGCCTTGGCAACTGGCTTCCATTCAACTTTTCCACTTTCTTCCCCAAAGGGAGAGAGACTTCTCTTATACTTCCCCACCACAGTGGCTACCAGTGCTTCCTAACCAACAGGCCTTGCTCCTCTGCTTTAGTACTCTCTCCTCCCACCTCAGTCACTTTTAAACCGAGAACCTCCTCAGCCACCACAGTGTACCCACTGCCTTCTCTCCTGATCTCTCCCATCTGTCCCTCAGTCCTAACTGCTACCTGAACTGCCCCTCCACTCCACACAAGCCTGTTCCCTCTCTAGTGCTCAAGGACATTGTTCCAGGAAGTCCTCTCTCCTCTTGCATCAAATCATCTCTCCCAACAAGTTTAGACCCATCAGCAGAAAACATCTAGTTATGTCTTGCTTTAAAAAAGAAAAATCTCAAGCTGAGAACAGGGGCACACTCCTATAATCCCAACAGCTCAAGAGGCTAAGGCAGGAGGATCACAAGTTCAAAGCCAGCCTCAGCAACTTAGTGAGGCTCTAAGCAACTTAGCAAGACCCTATCTCTAAATAAAATATAAAATGGGCTGGAGATGTG